AAAAAAAATAAAAAAAAGGGGGGGAAAACCAACAAAAAAAAAAAAAAAAAAAAAACCCAGCCACGATTCAAGTTATGTCTTTATATGGCTAGGAAACTCCGTTCCTTCTCATCAGTGACGAGTTTTTCTGCCTAACTCTGCGCATCAGGGGATACAGGCTGCATGGGCTCCCCAGCCACCTCGCCTCCCTGCACCCTCCCCATCCTCATCCCCATCCCCACGGTGCTGGGGAGGAAATCAGCCATTTCACTGACACTACTAACTGCAGTCACAGCGAGAAGGAAGGAAAAAGAAACCATCATCTCTTTGCCCCGTGAAGTGCTTGTGAATTAACACAGGGGAATCCCTTTGGAGGAGAAGCTGGAAAGCATTACAGCTCCACCTCCCAAAGAAGGGGAAGATTAATTGAGAGGGCAAACATCACTGGAAATGTTGTCCTGGCTACTGACCTGCTCCTAATTAACACCAAGCTCCCACCAATTCCCCCTTGACATCAGCCCAAGCACTCATACCCCGCAGCGCCGGCTGGCTCAGACCTTGGGCAAGCAAAAGGATCGCCAGGATTCAGCTTCCATCCCATGGGCAGCACCCCCAGCCCAGCATTTTTCACAGCTCACTCCATCGCACACGCGCATGCTCCTTCCTCTGGCGCTGCCCGCTGCTGCCTGCTGTTGAATAGTTGCCTGGAAAGCGCAGGCAGAACATATGGATCTGTTCTTATAGCAAAGCCTTCAACAGCATCTACCTACTGGAGTCCTCATCAGGGCTGGGGTATTGGAACTGTTTTCATCAAATAAAATAAAATAAAAAAATATATATGTATTTTGCACAGAGCGGTACGAAGACGTGAGCTGGGCTCTGTAAACAGCCAGGCAAAGCTGGGCTCTTCCAAGCCCACCTGGGTCATTAGATCCCCTTCGCATTCACGTACCATTGCATTCATCATGGCATCAGCCAACCTGGCTCTGTTAGACTTCATCAAATTTCCTGCTCCACTTGCATTTTATTAGCTGCTTAACTCCTCTGGAAAGCAGGTTTTTGGCTGGTTTTATTTTACCTCCTTCCCAAGGAATCTAAGTACAGGCAATTGTGCTAGGATCAACTTGCCTGACACATGTATCTCAGGTCCTTCCCGTAGGAGACGCTTAGGTCACCAGGGCAGGACCTCTCCAGCCAGGGCTTGTCCCAACACCCGCAGCCAAGGAGATGAAGATCACAGCCAGGTTCAACCAAGAGTCTGGAGCACCAGGCAAGGTGGTGGTGATGAGGCAGAGATCAAGCCAGGGAGTCAAGCCACAGGTCAGGTCCAGTGATGGCTGGGCAAGTCCATCATGATGGGGCAGGTCCAAGCCATTGCTCTTTATTATATGGTAAGAGAAGGTGGGCATCCATTGCTTAACACAAAAATGAGTAGCTACAAAGGGCAGAGCGCTGGGCATCTGACACAGGCATCACAAACACGCTTGGATTTTATACGCATGAATTACGCTGATGATTTCCCACCAACTAACGTGCTTCCAGCTTGCACAGCGCTACAGCTTTGGGCTGGAGTGGCACTCCTGCTACCCGAAAGTGCCCGGCACGGTACCTCTGCCAGCATCCTATTTTAGTCCAGCAGCAGAAGCAGCAACCCCTGCCCCAGGAGGAGGTCTGCTGGGACACCGCTACCCCCTCGCAGCCCTGTCACGGGGCATTTCACCTGGGACGAGGCACCCCAAAGCCAGTTTATGGGTTTACGGCAAAAGCCGGGACTTGCTGACTCAGGCGGCCGGAGGAAAGCCGCGCTGCCGTGCCAGGGCAAGGCTGGATTAAAATATGAAAGAGCCTGGTCCCGAGCCACAGCCCACTTGGGTTTGCTCTGCTCTGCAGCTCGTGATTAATTATATATGGCTCAAGAAATAAAGCAGCCCAGACTTTCTCATTTGTGCTTTCTCCCAAAGGTGGGATGCGACACGCTGCTGACTCCAGCCACGACCCACAGGCAAAGTGGATACCATGGGGACTTGTGTGCACACCTGATCAGAGCAGCCTAATAAACAAAACAGAAACCACAGCAGTCACCTTGGCATTTGCAAAAATGAAAAAAAACCAACCCAAAAACACCATTGCAAGAGGCATGCACGAACCTGCTTGTCTTAAGAAGGAGCAGCTCGGGTTGTATTTCAGCATTTTGGGAAGGGAGGCCAGGTGCCACCCAAAAGGCCCCAATAAGCTTTCCTTGGGCTCTTGCCAAGAGATCGATCCCATCCTCAACGATCAGTTTGCCATGTGCTTCCCACCCCCAATTTTATTTTGTTTAATAATACCAAATCAAATGAAATCTGGCAAGGTGGGACTATCATTACTGATATTTCTAACATGAGATGCTGTCTGCAGTTCTCGGTGAAGGTAATTCCCAAACTAGAAAATGGCCCTTTGAAGACAATTCCACTGGAAAGAGGGAAAATAACACTTTTTTTTTCTTTTAAGGAAAACACCAAGCTCACTTCTGCCAGCTTGCAGAGGATGAATTCTCTTTTCCAGCTCTCCTGCGTCTCCCCAGGCTATGGGAGAGAGGAACTGGCCCCACTGGCCCAGCGCCAGCCTTGCTAAGGGGGGACCCCCCCCCCCAGCACCCCGGGTAAGCGACTCCTCCATCACCGCTGGGTAAAAAGCTCCAACTCCCACAGGAATTCAGGAAATTCTGACACTTAACACTGCTGAAATGTGGAAAAATTAATGAAGCTGCTCCACTCAGCTAGAGGAGCAAACAGCACTGAGGAGGGGGAAATCCAGCTGCGTGCATAGTATGTATTTTTCCTACACGATTCACACTTAATTTGGACAAGAAGTCCCAGAAAGCCGGGCTATGTGAACGCAGGCACCATCACTAACCACCGCTCCCCCTTCATCCAGAGATTGCCCGGTGGGGGCATTGGGGGGATGTGTAGAGGGATGCATCTGCCCTGCACAGACCTGGACCACACCTGGCAGCAGCACAGTGTGCGTGGCACCAGGGCATGGCCCAGAGGTACTCGGCCACTGTTTTGGTACCTCTCCATCTGCAAGCTTATCAGCATCACGGGGGAACAGGGAATTAAGCGAGATAATTAACCACTGAGACTTTGACTCCATGCTCTTTACCGGGCACGCTGCCTAGTATTGCAAACTCAGGCAAGATGCTAAGCAGGACGCAGAGAGAGCTTTCCACTGGTGAAGTTGGGGGGTAAAATACCACCTTCAGACACATCTGCTCCATTCCCATTGAGAGTGAAATCTTGAGACATTCACCCTCCAGGCATTTAAACCAGCACCTTTCTTCTTCCCAAAATTAACCCAACAGTTCAGGAGCTGCAGGGAAAATCCTGGAAGATAAAGCCATACTTTTTGCACTGGGGCATCATTATGGGTACTGTTTCTTCCTTCGTTCCCTATTAATTACTGCTCCTGAGGGCTTTTGTGCTCTGCTTATCTGCTGCCACCCATCCGAAGCAGGCCAGGGCGACAGGGATGGAAAACGCTGGCTCTACAGTTTGCGGCACGTTGGTGTTTGGTGCAAATAACCCCAGAGAGCAGCGGGGAACAGTCAGCCACGGAAAGCAAATACGGTGCCTACAGATGATAATTCTTCACCCATCTCTGCAACCAGCAAAGCACAAAAGAAGCAAGGTCAACCACACACTGCTAAAGCCAGCGTGGAAAGATGGGATGCCTTTGCTGCAGCAAGATGTGTTTGCTGGGGGAGATTTCTGACTAATGCTACTTTATCAGTTAGGAATTTGGTGGCTTGGACCAGCTTTGAAATTATGTTATGGACGACAGCATCTTCCCACCCTGGTACGAGACACCCTTGCAAAAAAAAAAAAAAAAAAAAAAGCCAGATTTTCATGCGTGGATGGCCAGGGAAGGTGCCACGGGTTTGGCATCTGTGAAAAAAGTCAGCTCACTTCCATGGCTAAATATGGATTTAGGAAAGACTTAATGAGTACTCTCTTTTTCAAGAACTGGGGTTTTTTTCCCCTCATTATTTACAATCTCAGTCTCCGTTTATACACAGCGTAATCTCTTTGTGTACACAGCCTTTATCTGCAGCATCCCCGAACACTTCCTCTGACCAGAAACAAGTGGCCAAGCACGGTCCTGTGCCTCCCATGCATGCTATACTGGGATGCAAAAGCCGCAATCCCCTTTTGAAGCTCATGGATAACTTCCAGAAAAAGTCCACAGCAATTCCAGGGTACGTGCATATCGAAGAGCAACAAAGCTACCTACAGCTGGTGCTCCCCACGTTAGGTCAGTCCCTATCTAGCACGATGTTAATAACAGTCCCCACCGTGTACGTCCCTCCCGGATGCTCTGCTCCTTCTCTGACGGGTCATGCTGGAGGTACAGCATGGTCATAAATACCATCCCCCCATCCCATCCACACCTATTACCGCGTTTCGGTTCTGTTTCTTGTTCCAATTGCTAAATCAAGCTCTTTTACCGCTTTTTGGGGGTCCTCTTGGTCTCACAACTCCTCCAAAGGGGACCGACCCTGAGCAGATATAAGCTGGCAGACTAACTTAAGCCAGAGGACCATACAGAATTCTACACCAGCCAGAAAAACCCATGAAAGAGAGAAACCAACTGCTACGTTGGATGTATCACAAAATCCTCTTTACCAGAGGAGGAGCAGAGCCCCTGCTCGGGCTCCGTCCTCCTGACCTCTTCCCCCAGCCTGCAATCGCCACATGTGCTTTGCCGGATGATGGGAAATTGCTGCTTGAGGCCAGGGCATTTATTTGTTGGCCATGGAGCAATAAATACATTGCAGGAAGAAAAAAAATAGTTTGGTTTTTTTTTTTCTTTTCCCTAGCACTGCTGGAGCTCTACATGAAGAAATAAAACATCTGTGAGACAACACATCAGCAACCACGGTGCTAACACGATGTCCCAGGATAGCTTCGGAAATGGGAGCGCACCAAAACCACCCTGCAGAAGCCCTCGGCGTTTACAAACCACCAAAGCCCCGTGCATCAGCACAACGCGGCTCGGCTAATCCCACCCTGCACAGCAGCAGCAAAGCCTCCGCAGAGCCGGCTGCATCGGGGGTTAATGAAGGTAAAGAGGGATGAAGCAAGCGCCCTGAGCTGCTGATCCTGGGGGAAGAGCCACTTCTTCCTTTACATGAGCTTAAAAGAGTCGGCTTGGGGGTACCACGGATGGCAAGACAGGTATGGCTGCATAAATCCACATGCAAAAGCATCCTGCAATACACGCTACATCCTAAACCGGCATCGCTGCTACTACCTGCAGCCAAGGGATGGCTGGAACGAGGGCAAAAATAATGACAACCCCCTTCTGAGAAGGTGTACAAGGGGCTGAGATGAGAGAACTCGGGGCTAAAGCCTAGAAAAGCCTGGAAAAGTTAAACTAAAGCCCACTTGAGATGGACCCTAACAGTAGCGTGGGCTCCAGGGAAGGGAAACCCCCTAACAGCGTCCTCGCTGCTTCCCGGCCACAGCGGGACACGGACTCAGCTGCCAACCGCTTCCAGCATCCCTTCGCTCACGATGCCAACGGGAATTACATCTGCAATGCAACCTGCACACTTAAAAAACAGGTTTTCATTCCAGACGCAGCACTACTAGTTGCTTGCTGGAGCTATAGGAAATACCTTTAAAGCTTTTAAGCCTGCCCAAATTCGCCAGCCCCAGCACGATCCATGTCACGGAGAAATTTCTGTAAATTCACAGCTTCATCTGATTCCAAAAAAGATGCTTCAAAAGGTGTGGATTATGTGCTAAAATTGTTGGCAAAAAAATAAACTACTATATGTAAGCGAAATATGCATTTCTAGCTGTGCTGCTCTATCATTTCTGCTTGTATAGTAACACCAGGCGCTATATAAAAAGAAAGGAATGCCAGATTGTTTGTGCTAGCAGCCAAAATTGGATAAGGAACTCCCAGAATAAAACAACCAAAAAAGAAATAAAATTTTAAAAAAAGGGCAAAATAAGGCATTTATTCCAACCCAGGAGTAACGTAAGTGGTACCAGAAGAAAACAGCAAACGCTGGCACCTAAAACAAGAATTAAATTGGTGCAAAGGAAATTTGAAGGGCAGTGGGCCAAAGGTATAAAAAAATAAGAAGAAATTCCTCAAGTGTATCAAAGGTAGGAAACCCACGGGCAGACCAGACGCCAGGGATAAGGGGGTAAGGGAGCCTTTTAAGCGATTAAAGCACTGTGGCAGTAAGTTACCGATGCTGAACTGTGCTTCCCCTGCACTCAGAAAGCCAAAAGGCTCTGAGCACATCAGCTACTAGGAAAAAAAAAGAGGTCCTCCCCCAAAAAGATGCTTAGCGGGAGCAAGACCACGTGCTAACAGTGATTTCGGGAGACGTTTGAGCTCACTCGGCCTCATTTAAGAGGTGGGAAACGCGGAGAAAAAGTTCCTGAAGCAGTCCCAAGGTAAAACATGGGTGAGTGAGGATGAAGCAGCACCACCAGCAGCGTGGGTACCTGTCCCGGAGGCAGGGCAGAGCCCGTGGGCCTAAGGGCATCTGACACGGTCCACCTCTGGGCAGGAGGCAGCTCAGGCATGGCACAGGCAATTTTTTCAACCCCTTTAAATAAATATAGCTGCATCGCTGCACATGTAGCGGAAGGAAGGAGCACTCGCACGTGTAGCGCCCTGCCATGCTTACGCCACAAGGCACGTGGGGAAAGGGAACCCGCAGCAGCCAGCTGGTAAAGGGCAGTGTATGGTGCAGACACCTAACACGCCACCAAAAAATCGGGTTTCAGGACACCGCGACCCACCTCTTAAGAGAAAACCACCCCAAAACGCGGGCAGCGTGCACAAACCGCCCCGCCGGCCCCAAGCTTACCAGTCCGTCACAGTTGCTGATGGCCACGGCAGCGCCGGGCATGCCGGAGATGTCGCCGGTGAAGAGGCACCGCTGCTGGAGGGGTTCCCGGAAAAGCACCTCAAAATCTAAGAGAAAACCACCCCAAAACGCGGGCAGCGTGCACGAACCGTCCCGCCGGCCCCAAGCTTACCAGTCCGTCACAGTTGCTGATGGCCACGGCAGCGCCGGGCATGCCGGAGATGTCGCCGGTGAAGAGGCACCGCTGCTGAAGGGGTTCCCGGAAAAGCACCTCAAAATCCTCGAGGTGCAGCTCCTTCCCGAAAACCGTGACGTTGAAGTAGAGCCAGCGGCCGCCGGCCCCGCGGCGCC